ACTCCAGAGTGTTGTTCAGCATGGGGGGGAGTAGAAAATGAAGGCTAATCATGTTTTGGGTGTACTAAAGACTCACTACCCTTAATATCAGAGACTCTGCATCTCAGTCTTAGTGATGTAAGAGACTCTGTCCATGACTCTGTACCTTTGATATCAAATACTTAGTCTCAGTGTTGGTTAAGTGGTTGATCCTGTTTAAATTGTCTCTGTAAAATGCCTTGACATGACATGGACTCGTATGGTAGCCTATTGGTATTTGTGGTGTCAGAAACTTGGGTTCAGGTGTGCCGTATCAAGGTTTAGGGGATGATTCGTTTTGGACCAGTTTCAGGCCGGTTCAGGTCTTTTTTTTTCTTGATGAAAGAAACGGTGACTTTCAAACAGCTTATTGTTTTTTCTTAGCTAATATTTTCAGGTTTTATTCATTTGCTAATCTGAAACATTTGGGTTGACAGAAAAAGTAAATCAGGAAGTATGAAGACTTTGTAGCGGCTCTCAGTTTGAACCATTGAACTGTCGGCGAAACCTGGAGCATCTGAAGAATATTGTAAGTGAACCCGCAGGAAACCCAGAACAGCTCTGAAAGCCTAAACCTGCAGCAGCAGCAGGAACCGGTCTGACTGGGCTGGTTCAGAGGGGTTCAGAGGCTCGGCGTTCCCCTAAGACGGTTAAACAATCGGTGGAAGAATTTAGACCCAAAGCTACAGGATTCTGCAGATCATAATGTGACCTAGAAAATCTGCAGTTAATGTTCGATGCAGAATATTTGATCCTCAAAGTTAAATCTGAAAGTGGGTCGACGTTCAGGCCTTGTCAGCCGGGTCGCTGCGGTTTAGAGAGGAGGATCAAAGACACTCAGGTGGTGACATCACAATACAAAGTGTGGTCGTGGCGCCAACCCGCATAAAAACCCAACTGTTTAAACCAGTGCTTATCAGAACCCCAGTCAGTGGAGGAGGAAGAAGAAGAAGAAGATAGCACCAGCAGCTTCTAACCAGACCTCCAGCTGAGCCGTGGGAACCTTCAGGGTTTTAAAAGCAAACACAGAGGAAGTCAGACCAAGACCAGAGATCCAAACCAGCATGTTTCCAACATCAAGAAGCATCAATATGACGGTGAGGAAACCAGCAGAACTTATTCTTTTCAGAATCAGCGTCATTAGCGTCGTACAAAAGACGAGTTCTTTTATTATTGCAAATCAAATGTGGAGATTTAGCTTTATTCTTCCTGATGTTTGAATACCGTCTAATATTTGAATCTGGTTTATGGTTTTCCGTTTTGGACCTCCAGGCAGGGTCGATTTAGAAATGAGAACTGGTGTTAGAGAATTTTCTTCCACTGACAGCATTAGCATTTTCCCTGCATGTGATATTTGGACACTTCTGATCAAACCAGGCAGATACCAACTTTATTGGATTTATTTTGAAGGCTATGAGATGATTGTTTGTTGGTGGCAGCAGGGAGGTCCTCCAGTTAAGGTCTAGTTTAACCCTGTCTCATCTTCCTCAGGCCGTCAGTTGTGTCGTTGTGGTAGTGATGATGATGATGGTGAGGAGCACGGAGGCGGCTTCGGTGCACCATAGCAAGCACTCCAATGGCTTTCCAGATCAAACCATCCCTTTGCATCTGGACCCCAAGGCTTTAGTACCCAGCAGGAACATCCGACCACTGGAGAACATCTCCATCTCACCGTGGACGTACAAGTGAGTATCAGACCACCAGGTGTGTTACAGGTAGAAACCTGGGATGATTATTTAACCTGCCCCCTTCTCTGTCCCCAGTATGTCAAGAGATGAGTCTCTGTTCCCACCGACAATTTCAGAGGCTCAGTGTTTGCTGCATGGATGCCTGGACCTGGAGGGGAAGGAAGACCTGAACCTGAGGTCCAGACCCATTATGTTCCAGGCTCTGGTGCTGCGGCGGGTCAAGTCGGCGGGAACGGAGCAGAACTACCATTACCGCCTGGAGACTCGGCTGATTCCGGTTGGCTGCACCTGTGTCCGACATGTGGTCCACATCCAGGAGTGAAGCCCTGCAACAAAAATGACCCCCAAACCGTAGCAATCGATTTCAGCATTGATCAGAAATGTAATGAAGGTTTCATGATGAGTCCGGTCGGTAGAGTTGCTTCATGTCGCTCTCACAACCGCCTTCTGTTTATTTCTGTTTTTGTGTTTAGAGAAACTACACCACTAAATTAATCACCAGAAGGCTTTTTGTGTTTTATTTATGCTTATTTAAGTTTTATTTAAGTGTTTAATGATCTTCAGCAGCTATTTATTTTATGTATGTGGGTCTATTTATTGTCTAAATGTGCCGAGTCAATAAAGTCCAAAGTAGCAAACATATAAAGCCGTCTTGCTTTATTCTTTAAAATATAAACTGATTTCTGTACATCTGAGACACATCTTGTAAGTTTACAATGATGGAGTTAAAAGCAGCTGAGAGCCACAAATATGCACTCATTCACTCATTCATTCACTCACTCATTCATTCACTCATTCATTCATTCATTCATTCACTCATTCATTCACTCATTCATTCATTCATTCATTCATTCATATCAGGATATTTTCATGGAGATACAATAAATGTTGCTTGAATCATTTCAGCAGAATCTAAATAGAGCAGCAAGGAGGTGACTCGGGTCTCTGTTGGGCGACTAGTTGCTGATGTCTGTGACTCGGGTCTCTGTCCCACACCTCATCTCTTTGGTTTTTTAGGACTAATCTCTGAATATAATGTTAAGCTAACAGAATCTGCAGGCTGTAGTTGCTAGGCAACAGGAGACAGACCAGCCAATCTGAAGTCAGGAGCATCTCCTGACCTTCTGCAGAAGCAGAGGAGAAAGCCACATCTGCAGAGATTCTCTAAACCTACAGAACTGCAGATCCTGAACCCAGACTGGACCAGAACCACCGCCTTACTTTCACTCGGACTCGGATTCAGATGTCCTCGGTCATGTTCTGCTGTGTCGAGGAAAATGGGAATGTTCTTTTCTTTGTTCTTGGAGATGTTTAACCTCTTTGAATCCTTGTTCGGTTCCACTCATCAGAATTTGAACAGCAGTGTTTTCGATTTCATCTGAAACATCTGAAACTGATACATGAAAGTCTGGGTGGGCGTGAGAAAACTTCTGTTCTTCAGCAGAGTCTCAGGCAGCGCTGCTGATTCCTTCGAGATGTGTTGGGTTCTCGTTGATGCATGTTCAGTCACAGTCATACGTGAAGGCATTGGCACTGTTGGCATGGCAACAAAGCACAGAAAAGCCACAGAAAAACCACCCAGTGATGGCTTAATCTGCAGCGGTTCTCAAATTGAGAAGTTCATCTCTTCAGAGTCCTGGTGGAGCAGTCCTCCACTCTATCTGGTTCTGCTCTGACCCCTTCCAGTCACGCTTCCAGTATTAGCAGCGTCGGTTTCCCAGCTCGTCAGTCGGGTAAACTGCCCTCAAAATCGGCATCTGAATAAAGTTCAGCTTGTGTTGTGATCAGGCCATCATGACACCTGGAACAGAGCAGAGGGAGGAGGTGAGCATTTATTCACCAAAACAGACAGAAATATTACACAGTCAGGGGTCTGATGTTATGGCGGGCGTACACTGTGCGATTTTTTTCAATTGTTGCGCGCAGCTACAGCTCACGCTGTACGATGAAACCGCCGTCTATCTGGAAGCCAAACGACTAGAAGAGGAACATGAAGCTCACTAGAGTGAAACGCGCTGCCTTGGATATTTGGGCAATTTAGTGCTGAAAGCCCTAAAAAGAAAAGGAGACGACGTATTTGGACAAAGACATGGCTGAGCTAACGTGGCTACTACGGTCTGTCAGTTTGACAGAAAGACTCCCTTTTCACTCATTGCCCCCCCGCCATGATGCTGGGTTTACATCTGAGAAGAAGAAGAAGAAGAAGAAGAAGAATCCAAACATTTTATCTGACTGCTCTACTGCAGTGATGCACTAAAAACCCCAAAGAAGCCGCATCAGGTGTGCTAACATATTTGTTCTATTGTCAGACTAACAGTTAATAATTATTTGCAAATTCACAATCGCCCTAAAAAAAAAAGTTAAAACCATATAGATACTAGATTGTTGGTCGCAGTAACAGACAACTGTTCCTCCTCCAGCCCTTTAGGTGGCAGTAATACGCTTAAGGTGGATTTGCCACCACACAAGAAAAAGCTAGCTAGCTGCAGAGCATTGCGTACCGTCTGGGAGCAATTTCCCGGCAACATTAAAGTCGCATAACAATGGACCCCAGACAGTATCTATAGAGCTAAACCAGAGAATACTTGCATTACTCACGTTTACAACCACATGTGAATTTTTAGCAAACTTTTTAAATGCTGAAAACAATAAAATGCAAGTTGTGCTTCTATTCATTGGAGCAAATTAATGGTGATGCCAAGCATAATGTCGTCACACGTTTAGGTTGTAACAAGTGGTAGTTAGCTAGCTAGCTACCACTTGTTGCTGCACTAGTAATGCGGCAACATTTTAATGAATGTTTTACAATCAGCAAGTTGTACGAACTTAATGACGTTGGCTAGTATTAGCGATGATACGCACCTTCCAGAGACGTTGTGTTAGTCTAACTCCGGTTTTCTGTCGGATGAGCATACCTACAGTCAACACGCATGTGCAAGACATCAGATTTGCGTTTATCCCTTTAGTTTTGTTTAAAAATAGACTTTAAACTACCTCAACGGGCGTTTATTCCTTTAGTCATTTACAAAAAAAACAATTTAAGGTCAGATCACCATACGCTTCACAAAACACCAAAAGTAAATAATTAAATTGTTTCTTTGTAGATAACTAAAGGGATAAACGCAAATCTGACGTCTTGCGCGTTCATATTCACTATGGGTATGCTGGTCTGATGGGGTATGATCGCCTGACAGAACACCGGCATTCAGGACGCCAGCAACACCTGATCTGTCTAGTGAGGTTACCGTCAGCAACTGCAGAACTTATTAAACGTGTTTTAATCTCCAATTAACGCATTAATCCTTTTTTTCGTATAAAACAAATCAACAAGCATAAAAACTTTTTTAACGAGGTTAAGAAAGTTGATTTGAAGTCTGCAGTTTGTCTCTTCTAATGCAAAAATGTAAAATGTGCGTTGATGGCAACACGTCTACTGCGGAAACTGTGGGCGGGGCTAAGCTAAAGGCTCCTTCATGGTCCTTCAGTTATTTCTAGTATTGCTCATCATTTACCTTCAATTAATGGAAGGCTCCCGTTGCTGCTTAATTATCCTCATTAGCTTCATAAACGGCCAATTCATCCAGGATGTTTTAAATTCAGCTAACTGACGACCGGATCTCATGAATTTCAGCCGGAACATCTCAGGTCAGACTAACAGTTTCTCTCCAACACCAAAAAGACTACCTTTTTTTAATTTATAAAACTGAAGGAACCCAGTGCTGTTTGCTCGTTTCTCTTAATGAGTTTTACTGCAGGTGTTCATGGCATGAAGGGGAGGATTGCTGTTATTAGGAGATCCATCTGACCCGTGGAAGATAGATTAACCTGACAGGAAATGAAATCAAGTTGTTTTTCTGCCAGATATTTGTGTGAGAAAGTCCTTTATGTGGGGCTGGGATAGTTCCCAGGGAGAGTGTGTGTATCGGGACTCGCTGTATAAATGCATGTACTTCAGATAAGCCCCGCCCCTGGCGCCAAAACATACAGGATTGTAACTAGACACAAGTTGTGTTTCCATTCAAATATAATTCAATTGGAGCAGACTTGTAAAAGGTTTTTAAAAAGAAAATGCAAATTAGACTGTTTCCATCCACTGGAGTGAATTACTGAGGCGAAGAAATGCATAATGTCGTCATTTGTTGATTTTACGCTTGGCTAATGTAAACAGGAAGTAAAGTTAGCAAGCTGGCGGGAAAAAAAGATCAGTGAAGGACCGAAGTTTCAATAAATTTTTATAAATATATTCAGATGTTGCCATTTCCATCAAGTTCTTCTAATGCAATAATTAAAAACGTCTTTTGAAACCATCTCTCTTTAAAAGCGCATGCAGCGTAAAAGGAAAGTATCATCACATGTTTTTCGTTAAAAATGTTTGAATATTCAGTGTTTAGTTTTGTTTTAGTTTACGATCACAGATTTCTTCTCCAATAGTTACGCAGGTTCTCTTTGGTTTAGCTCCTCGTCATTCAAGGCCATGAAACAATAAATCTCTGAAACAAATTGTGTGGTTATTATATCAAAATAAAGCCACAAATTGGATTTCTATTTGAAATAAATGGAAACTGTTTAACTTAGAATGTATATTTCAATTTTAAACCTGTAAATATCAAAAATATTTTCTTTTAAAACAGCTAATTTTATTTTCTATCATCAGATAAGTTTTATCTTAAGTCCTTAAATGTGGTTAACGGGCCTTCAGGGCTCCAAAGCTTCATCGAAGGCAGTAAAGCGTCATCATATAAGATGATTAAGTTTCCTCAGGTTTGTTCACGTTTAGGTCTGTGTTTGACTCCGCCCACCCAGAGGTCCTCCATCCTCATCCTCACCTCCACACTGTGTTTGTCCTGAAAGACAGACAGAGACAGACTTTCATTAGAGACCAATGGAAGCTGGTGGGAGTCAGCGGCTGTGGGGGGGGGGGTTATCTCCAGCCCTCACCTCCTTCTCCTGCGAGGCGTTCAGGTGCATCACTGCCTGCTTGGTGTTGATGCGATGCTCCTGGCGCTCTTTGGTCAAAGCTTTCTGAGCAACTTCCCGTTCATGCTCCCTCCTCTCAGCCAGATGCTTCAGCAGCTCCGCCTCGTGACACTAGGGGGAGCCAGAGGACAGGGTTAACTGGGGCGGTTCAAGCTAAGATCTTTAATCAGGAGACCTTTGATGCTGCCCTGTGATTGGTCAGTTAGAATGCAGGATACACTCAGAATCCACCCACCTTCCTCCTTTCCTGAGCGGCGTCCAGCTTCTTCTGGATCTCCTCCAGTGATGGTTTCTGACGAGGAGGTGTGGTGGCCCTCAGCTCGGGGGCGCCATCGAAGGTGGGCGGCTTCAGAATGACCTCAAAGGCCTGGCCGCTCGCTCGCTTGCTCAGCTCGATGACCTCCATGTCCCGGATGTTGCACAGATTCAAGTCCACCACACCTGCAGGAAGACCAGAACCAAAAACATGAATCCTTTAGAGCAAGAAGGTCAAAGTGGCTCCAGAGAGGACTGGCTGGATCCTGGTTTCAGCTCTAAGAATTACCTCTTTCTCTCAATATGAAGCTTTTTCATCTGAGTCATTCAGCAGATTCAAACTCTCTAGAATGGTTCTATGGAGAGATGTGATCATCTGTGACTCAGACTGGTGTCAAACTGTTTGGCTGCAAAAAACCAGCATCCATTTTTTGGAAACAGTTTGACACCAGAGCTTTTAGAGCATTTAACTGTTTTATTTTGGTTCATTTCCACCATAGAAAATGTTAACATTGTCTAAGAACCAATATTTTATTTCTAAGGTTTAAATGATTGGGAGCAGTGACTGTAGATGGTCCAAAGGTTGCAGAACCCTGGTCCAGTTCCTAAAGATCATCCTCAATGCTGCTAGAACTGAAGTCCTGATGAGCCTCCATCCCGTTACCTCATCGTCACATCCATGATTACTGTAAAACTGTGTCTACTTTGTTAGTCGCTTTGGATCAAAGTTAGAGTTAAGACCATTTAATTTTTTGACCCTGAACTGATACCATCTGATACCATGTGTGGCCAAGTGGTTTGGGCGTAGAGCAAGAAAAAAAGAAAACCATCAACCAGTAAAGGTCCAGAGACATTTAATTATAATTTGTTACTTCAAACAGATTTTAACACTGAAATAAAACGAGGTTTTTATGCATCTATGTTATACATTGAATAAAAATCAAAATAAAAAAAGAAAATTTTTCCATTTTAAAATCTAAATCTAAAAAATCTTAAAATCTAAAATGGAAAATATTTTTAAATTTGAACTGATGGTTTGTTATTTTCTTTCTTTTTTCTGTCTTAATGTTGGCAGTGGGCTTTAGGCTGCCCTGCAAGGCTTTAAACCTGGGTTTAACCGGAGACTAAGCCATTCTCAAGCACATATCAAGGAGCTCATTTTGAGCCTGGATCCAGATTTATTGTTGATTCTGTTCATGGTGGAGAATCCTGCTTCACAGCAGCAGGTTGAGCCAAACATCCTCTAAATGTGCAGGGTCATCTTTGAGCACGCCATTTCACTTTTCTTTCACCAGTTCACCGCAGTTCTTCCAGCAGTCCACACTTTCTCTGCTCTCTTTTTCTCATGGTCTTCTCCTTCTTTCCCATCGCCCGGCTTGCCACAGGTTTGCCTGCTGTGTCTAAAAGTAGCAGCAGCAGCAACCCAGACTGACAGCTCATTGGCTCATTTGGATCACGCGCAGCCTGGAGCCGGACGCTCCCCAGGGCTTTACCGTATTAACAGGAGAAGAGGCGCAAGTGAAATTAGACACTGCTGTTGGTGTTGATGTTTTAAATTAGGTTGGGTCCAGATTAGGCAGCAGGTGAGTCCAGATCCTGACGGCGGTCCGCTAATCTGTGACCTCTGGCATAGAGCTTAGAATCCTGAGGTTGTGAGATTGAAACCCACTCCCACAGAATGCCTGAGCAAAGACCCTTATCCTAACACTGCTCCCTGAGGGTTCGGTTAAATGCAGAGAGTGATTTTCATTGCTCTGTCAGTGAAACAGCTATAACCTGTGACCAATGGGAAAGCAGCTAATGACATCATCATGTCTGACCATGTCGCCTCGGAGCAGGAAGAGAACTTCCACACCTCTGAAACCTGAAGGTGGAGCCCAGAGTTCCTGACCTGCTGTGGCATTAATTGGACCTATTGCTGTATAAACATGAACTTTAATGGATTCTATCTGAATAAACCACTGATGTAAACTGAAACTGGAGTTTAACTGGGAATCAATTAACCCCCCCACCCGTACAGGCTGCTGACCTTCCTTCTTGTTTGCTGTTTGTTCCCTGGGTTCTGCAAAGATGCAGGAGCAGAAAACGGACACCAGGGGGAGCTCTCGCATCTTCTCTCTGTAGGCTGGAAGATTGAGCAGAAGAGAAACAGATTAAAGCTGCAGGAAAGAAGAACAGCTGAAAGGCAGAGGCTCAGAGAGGCTGCGTACCTCTGAGGGTCATCTTCCTGCTGCTCTCAGTCAAAGACACTGTGGTGAGGTAGAACCTGTTCCTGGAAACAGAACAGAAAGAACCAAACATTTCATTCATGCAGCAGAGAAGCAGAGAGTCCATTTGATATTTGAAATGTTCCAAATTACAGCTGAACCTGAAGGCTCCTCACTTGGTTCAGGTTAAACATCAGATCAGAACCAGTTTCTGCAGCAGCTCTAAAAATACTTTTTTTTCTCCCTTTTTCAGCTCATCTGAGTCATTCAGCAGATTCAGACAGTCAATAATGGATCTTATGGAGCGATGAGATGATCTGTGACTCAGACGGAGGAGGGAAGCTGCAGAAACATCTACCCTGACTTTAGAAAACATCCCAGAACCAGAGGAGAGAACAGAAACTTTTCCTGCAGCAAATAGGAAGCCGCCTAAAAACATCTGAAGCAGGAACCAGTTCTGTTTCACATCAAGATCGTTGCAGAAACTACAGCCTGCAGAAACTAACCAGAACAACCACAGAAACCCATTCAGACTGGAAAACTGCATCAAATCAATCAAACTGAGGAGATGAAAGCAAAGAGTCGTAGTGAATGCATGAGAGCGTGCAGAGAAGGATGATGTCATTGTTTTCAATGAGCGCATTGCCCACAGGGACAGAGGAGCAGAGAGAAAGATGCACGAAGCGGTGCAGCAAGAGAGCAGAGGAGAGATGGAAAGAAGGAGCAGAGGATGGAGGAGCAGAGGATGAGGAGGAGAGGATGAGGAGGGAAATCTGCTTTGTTCTCTGAGAGGAAACTCACCCTGCAGCCTCGCCGCTCTGGTCTCTGTCCTCTGAAGATCTGCAGCTCAGCAGCATCAGCACCACACCACAGCTGCTGCATGACATCACCAGGCCGCACTCTGATTGGACAGCATGGATGCTGGGCTATGATTGGTGCAGGGAGGCACAGGGAGGGGGAGGAGGTGTGGGTGATATTTCTTCTTCACCTCCTCATCAGAAATTGCAAGCAGAGGAGCAAAGTTCTGTTTAAGTAACCAGAATCTGATCGACTTCATCAGAATCAGAACTTTTGGGTTCAGATAGAAGAGAGAACATCCTGATGTTCACCTACATGTTCACGCATTTAATGGACCTGCTCAGATAAGAAGGACGTTCTGTCTGGATTCAGTCCAGAAGCGTAGAAATATTCAGCAAACAGAACGTTTTACAGACGGGGAGACAGAAGCTGGTTTGAGAGTTTGCTTTTTCTTTGCAGATAAAAAAAAAAAAGTTCCTTTAATTAAACAAGCAGCTGCTCAGAAACGCAGCGGGTAGCACTGCTGCCTTGCAGCAAGAAGGTTCCAGGTTTGATTCCCAACCCAGGGTCAATCTGCATGGAGTTTGCATGTTCTCCCTCAGCATGCGTGGGTTCTCTCTGGGTACTCCAGCTTCCTCCTACAGTCCAAAAACATGAGAGTTAGGTTAATTGGCTTCTCTAAATTCTGCTTAGGTCTGAGTGTGATTGGTTGTTTCTCTCTGTGTTTCCCTGTGATGGACTGGAGACCTGTCCAGGGTGGCCCCCCCTCCCTGTCCAGGGTGGCCCCCCCTCCCTGTCAAGGGTGGACCCCCCCTCTCTGTCCAGGGTGGCCCCCCCCTCCCTGTCCAGGGTGGACCCCCCTCTCGCCCGCAGACAGCTGGAGATAAACACCAGGTTAGGATAAGCATGAAGGAAAAGCGCTGGATTGATAATTAAAAAGAAAAACCAAAGTTAGACACGAATGGATCATTAGGTTCTGCTTTTATCCGGGTCGATCCGGTTTGCTGGCTCCATGTGCTTCTGAGGAAATGTCAGCTCTAAAATTAAAGCTGACAGTGAAGCGTTACTCATCCTGACTGGAAGACGCCTCCGTCTGCTGCCACAAACGTTCCTCCAGCTCCCTGTAGAACCTCCAGCAGCCTCCTCCACAGCTTCATCTCCATTTCTGCTCCTCTCTCTGAAGGTCCAACCTCAGCAGCTGTGGGCCTTCGATGGCAGCACCTTATTTCAGCGCCGTATTGTTTTTAGGGCAGATTGATGAATCATTTTTTCATAAATATTAATCTGAGTTTCAGACCTTGAAAGTCTTAGAAACATGCAGATGTGCCGCCCTTCAAGTTTGGAAATTTGTTTCATTTTCTTTTTTTATTTCTATTTCCAGATATAATCTCATTGGTCCATTTAGCAGAGGTTCTGGTTCTGGTTCTACTCTCAGCGACACGCATCAGAACCTGAACATCTGCTTCTCTGTAGGTCCGTCTCTAAAACCTAAAGTTAGGGAATTAAAATTAAACCCTTGCTGTGAAGTTAATCTACTGCAAATGTTTTTCAGTCCTAAGAAACCCGCAGACAGAAGAACCGGTCTGTTTCTATCGCTAATGACATGACCTTTGACCTCCTCAGTGAGGCCTGCAGTCTCTGCTGGAGATCAATTTATTCACTGCAGTCCTGCAGACCCACCGGTGGAACTGCAGCTCCCATGATGCACTGCAGCAATCACCCCAATGATGTAATGGAGTGTTTCTATCAGAGAGCAGTCAGGACAGAAACCTGCACATCCCAAACGATGATGTCACCTCCAACCAATCAGCAGAGAGCTCTAGAGGCCACACCCCCTGTGTGTGAGCTGGGAGTGAAATGAGGTCCAGGATGCAGCAGTAGCACACAGAGATGCTGCCCGCTGCAGCACCAGGCGGGGGAGGGGGGGGTCTGTTCAGAACATCACAACATCTGGGAAAGATGACATCACCGCTTGGAGGGTGAGGTGATGTCATCGAGTATGAGGTCACCTTGCTGCACCGAGCCATGATGTCAGGCAGATGCTGGATCACTACAGAGGTTCTGATTATCCCCCCCCCCCCCCCCCCCAGTAACAGATCAACACTGAACCAGAGAGTCCAGAACCAGAACCAGAACCAGAACCAGGCCAGATGAAGCTGGGCCCACTCAGCTGCAGTGGGAGGGAGGTTCTGCTCGCTGTCGTGACCGTTGGTGGTTCTTCTCGTGTCTGCGGCCCACCGCCGGCGGACAGACGGCTGAGTGGGCTGAAAGGCAGCCCAGTGACTCACTGATGCCTCCACAAATAACATCTCCCACTGAGCTCTCCACAGCGCCGCCTGCTGGCCGCCACGCCGAGCTGCTGCTCTGCATGGAGCTGCTGCAGGCTGATTCAGTAAATAAGATGCAGAAGGAAAATAAAAATAAGAAAATCTTTCAAACAGCAGCTTGATCTAACTGAGAGGATCCAGTCTGTTTGTTCTGGATCTGATGAAACGTCTTTAAAAGGGTCTGGAGATGAGACTGGAGGTCTGGGTGAACTTCCATCCATCTATCCATCTATATCTGAGGAACTACAGAGTTTATTTTAATTGTTTTGGTATCAAAATAAAGGCAAGAGAGAGAATATGTTTCAGGTCTAAAAACCATCTTGGGGCGAATGCTGAGGACCCAAATCTGGATCCTCATGTTATGAAAAGGTTAAATGCCTCTTTTTCCTCTTATATATAAAAAATACCTCATTGTTCCTGATATATAAGTTGTAACATATAAACAATAAATTATGTTTTAAAGAGGAGTTAAGAAAAAGAAATCTAGATACTAAAATAGTAGATGCTAGCCTGAGTTCCATTGAAAATCCAAAACTTTAGCTTTTTATTTATTTAATGAATTTAAAATCCTGCATTTTGTGCATAAAGCCATAAATGAGCATCTCCTATCGTTCGTTAGCTTCCTAACAGCACAGAGAGCAGCACCGCTGCCTTGCAGCAAGAAGGTTCCTGGTTCGGTTCCCGGTCTTTCTGCATGGGGTTAGCATGTTTTCCCTGAGCATGCCTGGGTTCTCTCCGGGTACTCCAGGTTCCTCCCACAGTCCTTAGGTGTGTGTGTGTGAATGGTTGTTTGTCTCTGCGATGGACTGGTGGACCTGTCCATGGTGGACCCGCTTCTAGTGACCCTGCTTGCGATAAATAAGTGATGGAAAATGGATGGAAGTTCCTTACAGGAACTTATATGGAACCAAGTACCAGTGTCTGAGGCCGACACCCTGGTTGTGTCTAATCCCCATGCAGAGCACTATGTAATGGTTACGCCAGTTTTTATATGAGTGTCTAGTGGATGAAAAAGTACATAATGCACCTTGAGAAGCAGTGATCATCCATGGTCACCAGACAAAGCAGGTATATCCCAAATCTCTCCTCGCAAAGCATTATGGGATTTATTTTGAGGGGCGAGAAAGTACAAAGATGGCGCCGGCACCGTGCGAGGAGCCGAAGTCACATGACCAATGGGGAGCTAAAAGTAGTGATCATGTGTTCAAACAGTCAGTTAGCTGAGTTCACTACAAAGTCCACTCTATAACCCCCCCCCCCCCCCCCCCCCCCCCCCCGCTGAGCGATCTGTAGAGTAGCTGATTTAGGCTTCTACTGCTGGAGGACATAGGGACCACTTTTTACTCCCACTGTATCATTTACTTTCTATTCTCTGACTGCACTATTTTTCTCTGCTTCTTTTTGTGATAGTAGCTTCATCTGCCCATAGGTGGCGCTGGTGATACGGAACTAAACTGGATTGAAGAATGGATAAATGGAAATGCTTGGCTGCACAGATTTCTCCATTTAAAAAAAAAAAGACAAAGGATCAGACCAAGGAGGTAACTTGGTAATGAAAGTTGGTGGGGTCCCTTTAAGGGCGGAGGCGGAGGCTCCTACAGTTACTCCACACAAACGCTTTCAATAGGGTTTATATTTTCCAAAAATGATATTAAAACTGATATTTATATGTATGGGTAGTTTTACATTAATGTATAAAAAAAGGATAAATAGCAGCTGATTTTGATGCCAACAGCAATACATCATGCCTCCCTAGTATGCACACAATTTCAGCTTCAATCCATCCAGATAAATGGGGATGATGGACGGATGATGGACGGATGATAGACGGATGTTCACCCTTTCTGCTACATCAGCGAATCTCCTACTTCAAAAGCAGCAGAATCACATTTAGGAATTTGTCCCACATGTTGCTGAGAGCCTAAGTCTCTGTATGGAAATCATAGACCCTCGTCA